CGTGAACGCAACTCGCTGCCTGCCTGTGTGCTTGCGCGTCGACCTCAGGTTTGCTGCCAGCTGATTCGATTATGGTGACTCCTAACACTATAGACTCTTGGACCTGAGTTGGCCCATAGCCAATTTTCAAGCTAGGTCATTTGACTGTATAGTTTTCACTAGTACCAGGGTTGGGGTGACAGACGTGATTTTGATGCCTTTTTTAACTCTCCATCCGTAGGCGGACTTGAATCAGGTCATGTTGCAGTCGCCGGACATCAAGTTGGCTATTACCGCTGCACTACAAAAGAAGAAACCCGAGTTTCCTGACGCCTAAGTGGTCACCTTGGTTCTCAACTGTCTTGCGAACCGCTTCAACCACAACGTACTCAGGGATGGATAAAAACTCGATTTCTGAACTGTCCTTCATTTTCCCTATTTTTGTACACTTGTCCGTGCTCTTTGTTTGCAGTCCAAACTTTATCTTTTGTAGAAGTTTGTTGGGTATTTTTTTGTCAAAAATTGCTTTACACCTCCCTTTTACGGCCTCTTTTCGACTACAGTTATCATCTGCCTAACATATCCACTCGGATAACCTATTACCAAGGATGAAGAGGGAAACAGCGTAGCCGCCGTGAGCTTACTTTCTGGTTCGTGCTCGGGTCGGGAAGTACGTTTATCGCACGGGGTTATGTAAGTTAAACCCTAGCAACTGCGATCTTCAGACCATTATTACTTAGTAGAGAAGAAATCGGTGGAGGCCACAATAGTAGGAATAGTTTATTGTGCACACAAAGGAACGAAGAATAGATGGAAAGAAGTTGGACTTCGGAGCACACGTCATTCCGCTGGAGCGCCATGGCCCTAAGTGATGCCTGGCGGCTGAGGGTGGGGAAAAAGGGAAATGTTCGAGTGGTGCTTGGGCAGCCGCGAGAACCTAGACGCACGTGTGTGTCCGAGCGGAAGCAGGTAAAGTCTTTGCAGATCAACACGTCTGTAAGCGCTGATTGATGTATTGGATGACCTTGAGGCAGCTGGTCTTAAACAATGACGCCGGACAAAGCAATGGAGGGCGTCGGCCGACAGCAACCACTACACTTTTGTCTTGGCAAAATCAGATACTCAAGCCCAAAGCTAGCGCTTTTGTTTATTGTTCAGTCATGTGCTCATTTGCCCACTCAGACCTCTGCTCAAAAAGCTAACTGTCCAACGTGATCTGTACGGATTTTATTCCCTTACCTAAGTCAGAATACGTCTTTCTGCATTTTTTCTATTCCTTCGGTGAAGGCGTGAGTGGGTTCCAAAATTCTGACCACTAAAACCATGCAAAACACGTGGATGAAACTGGCCATACTTTCTATCTTCAGGAAATCACTATTGTAAGGCCGGGGCAACTTGATGAATGTTATTCAGATGCCACCTCCTTTAACGGGCATGTTGATCTTCCTGCAGCTTACAAAGTCTTGCGTCATTACGTACGTGAAACTAAGGACAAGATGGCCATAAAGAACTCAAGAGAGTTTCACAGACTCATTAGCTTCTACTTAACCAAATTAGCTCCTGTTATGGATGAATCGGCTTTACGGATATCATGGATAGCGGCGGCTCATTGGCGGCAATTGGAAGCGAGCTCCTCGTAAATATTAACCCAGTGTTTGTTTCAGTGTCGCAAGCCGTAAGCGATTACAAGGTCCATGCGTTCGATGTCCGACTGGGCGGTGTTAAGCCATGTCTTCAGATGACCGCCATGTCGGTATCTCCAGTTTGCACTACGAAAGGGGTTCACGACCAGTCTTCATAGGTCCGTCGATGGCTTGCGCAGGACAGGGCCAAATCATTGCAAACGACAATGTTGGATGTCCGATGCTAGACTTGGTAGTTTGAAACACCTGTGATATAGCTCAACATTGGAAATCCAATCCTGCCAGGAGACCCTTAAGAGGCGTCGAAGACACCAGTGGTCAAAGACTTCGAGCGATAGGATGTCTGCCTTTCTCACTGGCTATGTTTCGCAGGC